CACGTACTCTATGATCCAGGGCAAGGACCTATTACAAAAGGCATCAAGATTAGATTCCAGGATAATGTTCAGGTTTCATTGCCATATAGCAAAACTGGTTTATCAGGCCTTGAAGGCACATAGCTTGGTCCTTCTGCATCTCCAAATCCTCTTGTCGAGAGAGTTCATGACCCCTGCTGCCAGGCCAGGCCGTCTGCTGACTTCCTGGTCTGAAAGCCCAGAATTATGAACGACACTAACAAGGTATGTAAAGCTCTTGGTCTTGGTCCAGGAGACCTCTACACCCAAGGGCTTCACTCCATTACTAAATGCATCCAGATCCACCACTAAGGTTTCTATAGACTCAGATGGGATAGCAAAATCATCAGCAAAGTCAAGGTCAGTATCCCTGGTATTGCCCAGAGTTGTTCCACAATGACTTTGAATAGTAGCTCTGCCCAGCATCCAGTCCATACAAGTGTTTAAAAGTGTTGGTGCAAGGACACAGCCTTCTCTCACTCCTGAACTAACAGGAAAGAAGATCGACAGCCCCCCTCCCCTACACTTTACAGCACTCTCTGTATCAGTATATAGGCTATTAGTCCATTAATCCTTGCTGGAATTCCCCTCAGTCTCAGGATCTCCCAGTGTGATTCCCGATGCACCGTATCGAACACCTTGAAGTCGATGTAGGCTGCAAGTAGCCCATGCCCAAACTCACGATGTCGTTCTACAATGACTCGAAACGCAAGGCTATTATGGACTTACTAGGAGTGAATCCAGATTGCTCCAGCCTCTGATGCCTCAGTAAGTGGTCTCTGATACATCTCAGAAGGATGTGAGCGAGAACCTTGCCTGGTATACTGAGCAGTGTGATGCCTCGGTGATTGCTGCAGTCCCATCAGTCCCCCTTCCCTTTCCAGAGGGACTTTTAACAGATCAGGAGGAATGGTACCAGACCGCCAGATAGCAGCCAGGATACCATGTAACCCCCACACTATAGGCTCACCACCAGCCTTTAACAGTTCATCTGGTATGCCACAGATACCTGCTGCTTTACCACTCTTCAGCTTCAGATCGCCTCCCTAGCTTCAGTAATGGAGGGTTGATCCTCACTGATGAGTGGGTCTGGCATCGGAATCTCGGCACTCCCTGCATCGAAGTTAATTGTTGGTGGATCAACCTGGTACAACTGCTCAAAATACTCAACACAACACTCCCGCACCACGACAAGATCTGAGAGAATCTGGCCACTTACTAAACGTACTGCAGTCACCAGTGAAGACGGCTTGGAGTTCAGCTTTCTTAGAGCTTGGTATGCAGGACGAAGGTTATTTCCTAAGAAATGGCCTTCGACCTACTCTACAAGACTCCTAATAAACTGTTCCTTGTCCCTTCTCAACAGCGACCAAGTTCTGCGCACCTGAGATCTGTGCAAATCCCAATACCCTGCCAGAAAAGCCATATGATAAGCATCTGTGGCATCCAATGTCTCCTGTGAGATAAAATTCTGTCTTGTTCTCAGGCGTTCACTAATCGGTTCTTGAGCTGCATCAAGCATTTCACAGTTGAAGGTATCCCACAGAAGTACAGGGTCCGTTTGATTGTCGAGTGCTGTGAAACGTCCAGAGATTGCCTCAGTAAACCCATGGTCACACTCCCCTTCCCTCAGTCTGTCCAAATGAAATACCCTAGGGTGCTCATTAGACTGCTGGGGAGTTTTGAAGTGGACCCGAAGGGTAGCCACAACCCGCATCGCTGTACCCTGTCCAGCGATGTGGGTATTAGAGCTGGTACCAGGAGCCAGAAAGCCTTAATTTCTGGGACCTGGCAAAGACCTGGAATTCCCTCTGGGGTATCAGCTCCCGAACCATGGGGACCGACAGACATCTCATCTCGATCACAGCCAGATACCGCTTTGAAGTCACCCAGAACAATACAAATATTTTGCTGAAGACAACTGTCTGCCACTGATGATAGTTTGGAGTAGAACATTTCTTTCACGTTGAGTTTACATGTATCGGTAGGAGCGTACACAGCAATAAGAGACATGAAGCCAGATGCTAGCTTCGGTCTCATTACCATTATACGCACATCGACTGGAGTAATCCCTACTACTGAGGGCTGGAGTCTAGAGATGGTGACCGTTTCAGCGGCCCGACCAGTGATAGGTCTAGTCACATACACTGATCGTGTCCCTGCGAGGACTTCTCGCCTCTGAGAGAACAGCCACCTCAACTCTTAGCATCCCCAGTTCTCTCAACAGTAGAGCCACGAGGAGACACAGCAGGTCTCGATGATGGAGAGGCTGTGACCTGGCAGGGGAGGCTTCTGTCGAGCTGCTCCCTTTTCCGTACTAGGCAAGCCAGTGGTGGCAGCTGCAAGCGAGAAGGAATGGAAGCACTTCGGGCCGTACTATAAAAAACAAAAGTCAGGCAATGCCCGATTCTTCGCCAGGCGTTCCCTAGTCGGTACCATAAGACCCTGCTTTCCCTTCGCCTGGAGTTGCCCGCCGCTAAAGGGTCGAATTTTCGTACCACAAAACACCACTTTCAGCTTCGCCAGGCGTTTGCGGTAGAAAAAGTATTAGAACATCGCCCGACTATGAAAGCCAGCTATACCCCTCTCTTTCATCGCCACTTTCGTAAGTATTTCTCAGTAAAGTTTAACTGAACTTAATTAACATAACAACTAAAAAATTACGTGTTATTTATTTGAGTTGTACTAATTGTAAAAGAATGTGATTTTATAATTTTCCCACTTTTAAAATTATTAAACTATACTTTGTTAATTTCTAGACAGGCGCAGCTGTGGAAAGCATCGAGAACGTAGCTGTCATCCCCAAAATAAACATATATCAGGTAAGAAAACTGTTGACAGCTATTGTTACCATATCACGGAAGATTTTAAAAAGTGAGTGAACGAGTTTTGCGCATTTAAAGTAAATAACTCTGCTCCTCAGTGAAGATATGAGATGGTACCAAACTCGTCTTGGCATTGGCCATTTAATCAACACTTTGAGAGGTATTACTGGTGCATGTCCAGTTTCATACAGCCGCCTTTTAGACGAAAAATAATAGATGCAAACGATAGAGTGAGTGATTCTAAGAAACATCTTTTATGAACTTCAACCGCAACTCAAACATTACAAAGTTAATGGACATCATATTGGTTTGAATAGTTGTTAATTGTTTATTAAATTATCAGAGAAATCGAAAAGCACAATTTTCCTAGAAAAACGTTTTGGTTAGCTTGTTATTAGTGGAGGCCATGACCATCGCTTGACAATACACGAATGTGATGATTTTAACCAATCACATTGTTATTTACTTGATACTGGCAGAATTTGTCATTATTAGTGTATTTATAATGCTAACCCATTATTTTCCGAACACATTTTATGCCCTTTCCAAGTACTCTAACCTAGCTTTCATTTCAAAGTCAGATGCCATAGTGAAAATACGTTAGTCTTGTAAAACTCCCAAGGATTTTAATAAATATAATTTGTTTCAGAAATGTCTGCTGCATTCGATGAATTAGAGTGTCTTGAAGCCCTTGAAGACCTAGATGCTGCAGACCAACAGGATTCCCAGAAGATGCATCACTAACAGGATGAATCTTTTCCATTCTCTGCATGATGAGGAGTTCATCAAAAGATCCCGCTTAACAAAAACAACAGCACTCAATTTACTAGACAAGTTACAGATTCAAGAAACTCGAGATGGCAGAGGTAATATTGACTTTAATTGAGCCAGTTGAATTATTTTTATGTTAACAGCATTATAACGTTTGCTTGTATTGTTATAAATGCAGTTGTAAGTTTTTTTTTAGAAAATCCAAATGAAATTTCTAAAAATTAGCACAAATACATAGATAAGTAAGAGGTTATTAAGTATGTCTTTTGATAAATAAAACATTTTTAGTGTAATCATAATACTATATCCATGTTGCTATTTTGTAAATAACTTAATAATTATCTGCTGATGTAGTTATTAAAATGTTCTAAATATGTATGTTTTATAACAAGGGTTATATTTAGAGAATAGTGATTTATTCTGAACGTCAAATCTAAAATATGTTGCATTTCTTTTTGGATCACCAGTACCACCCCACCTACAACTGTTAATTACATTCCGATGGATGGCCACTGGTAGCTTCCAGTTGACTATTGCTGACACTTTTGACGTTTCACAACTTGTGAGCAACTGCACAGCCAAAATAGTCCGAGCCATTGCATCTCTGCTACAAGATTATGTGAAACGACCATCGAGAGAACATTTTTCTAACATCAGGAATTATTATTTTGAAATGTCTGGTTTTCCTGGGGTATTGAGTGCAGTTGACTGCACACATATACCTATTCATAGTCCTGGAGGTGTTACAGCAGAAGAGTTCAGGTGTAGAAAGGGATTTTTTTCTTTGAGTGTTCAGGCAGCTTGTGGACCGAATAGAATTTTTTGACTTTGTGTGCCATTGGCCTGGCTCTGTTCATGACAGCCGAATATTTAATAATAGCAGATTTTTTTTTATCTTCAACATGATCTGCTAGAAGGGCATCACTTATTAGGTGACTCAGCCTATCCACTGCTACCATTCCTCCTCACCCCAGTGGCAAATCCTGTTGGCCAAAGAGAAGTCAGATACAATATATCACATTCCAAAGCACGAAATACCATTAGAGCATTTGGTGTTCTGAAAATGAGATTCCGGTGCCTCACCATTCCATTGAATATTAATTTAACAGGTCATGGCGACTATTTGCAGTGCAGCTGTGTTGTATAATATGGCTGTTAAGTATAAAAATCTGTACATGTGTAATGATGATGGAGAGGAAGTGTAAATATTGAAGAAAATATAGAACACTTTGTAAAGGCTGCCGGTCGACAGAAAAATAATATCATTAATGAATATTTTTCTTAAATGTTTCATGCCAAAATGCCATTTTTGGTTGATATTTTTCTGTTTTGCTTAAGCATATGACATGATTTTGATTGTACACTATAGCAATCCTCAGGATATGA